GGCCCGTTTGGAAAATTTTTTTTTTTTTTATTTTCGTTTTGTTAGGGGGGAAAACCCCCCCAAAGGGGCCGGGGGGGGGGGGGGGGGGCACACTGCTGTCGGAGTCGTGGTTTACATGAATGGGTTAACAAGTCTGTTTACTTTTTCGTGTCATAGAATACATACGACAACAAACAACAAGTGAATGAGGAGAGGAGATAGATGTGCTTTGTCATTCTGCTGCCTCGTCCTTTAGTGATCTCCTGAGACAGATGTTGCTGCTCCCACCCAGCCGTCCACGGGGAACGAATTTGTGTGTGCTTTCCCCCCGCAGCTCGTGCCGCGTGTGCCAGACTGCACACACGCACGAACGACAGGTCACAGCGGTTCGCAAGCAAAAGCAAGGAAGCGTGTCTGAGAGCGAAGCTAAACGGGGGGAAGGAGCCTGGAAATAAACATGAATGAATGTTTCGCATCGATCCGTTATCGTACGAAAATTCTCCGCGAAACTCTCTCTCCTCACTGCTGCTATACACACCCACACGGACGGGTATTTAGGTGGGGGAGGCCTAAATACGGCTACAACAACAGCATCTACATCGTCTATGCAGTATACACAGGACAAGAGAGGTGTTAACCCTACTGCAGTAGTGTACTCGATGTGCATACTACTACTGCTGCTGAAAAAAACATACTACCAGAGAGGTGGGCACCGCAGCACTCCTCCCGTAATCCAAAGACTGACTACGACTGTTTAGTCTCTGCCGTAATCCTCGTACTATTGGGGGGCCCCAACTGGTCGTTTGTCTATTGCTGTAACGAGGGGTGGCTTCGGCTGCATCGAATCTGCGGGGACCCTTGTTGATGTTCCCACAAGATGTTCCGTGCTGGTCTCGTCTGGTCTGGTCTGTCCTGCCTTCTCACCGCCGTCTCTGCCTTCTCTGCTCTTCCTCTGCTTATTTTACTGGCTCTGCGTTGCCATCAAGAGGCCTGCTCTAACAGGCCGTTCTTTCTCTAGAAAAGCTTCTTCTGCGTCGTGGTGAAGTGGAGTGTTTCTGGTCGCAACGAACTCGACCAACTACAAGACGATGGAGAACGCAGACAGGGAGGCTTTATTCGGAGAGTCTTCCTCCCGACGTTCGGCTTCGCCGCCTAGTGCTGCTGGTGCTGCTGCTAGCTCCGGTGCTGGCAGCAACCGAGCTTCATCGCATCGTCGCGGAGGAGCGGTGGGAGGGAGGATTCAACACTACTCTGATGAATCGCCTGATGTGCGGGGCAATCTCGAGGAGCAACAGCAACAACCTCCGCCGTCGGGGCCCTTGCTGTGGGCGCAAGTGCGGGATAGCATCGACGTGACAGAGCGCCGGCGGGGCTTGCGGTCGGCGTACGAGTCGGTCGAGGTCGGCAGAGAAGCCCTGGAGCGCCTCGATGATCAGAAAGGTCGGATAGGCGAACATATTCAACACTTGTGTTTGGGAGCGGCACAATTAATTCCCCGTTTGTGAATTTCTGTCGTTCCTCGCGCCGTCTTGCTGGAGCCACCAAACCTCTGTGACTAGAACTACGAAACGACAATTGAGGACACCAACCACCTGACAAGCACTCTTTTGAGCATTACCGCTTAGAAGAGCCACGTATACACGGAGTGTTACGACAAAGCCCTTCAATACATGAGAAAACCACCGTGCACACCGACACCTTATCCAAGCATTTTACATGTATGGATCGGAGAGCCGTCAGCATATGTACGTGAACAAACTACAGGACACCTCGTCCGAAGTCCGCTCCCTGATGCCTCATCCGGTGTGATCCTGCCTGTAGCCGAAAACACACACACGGGTTTTCTTCATGATCGGGTCTACTTGTTGACGGGGGGCAGTTGTGAGCTGTTCTTGTTGATCCGATCATGAAAAAAAGGCCGGTTTGTTTTTCTGGCAACAGACAGAGTCACACCGGATGAAGACGTCAGGGAGCGGACTTAGGAGGAGACATGTAGTTTGCTTACCTCGCCGAGCACATTTCCGGAGCTGCGTTGGTTCCGCGTTCATATAAAAATACCTTGGGTACAAAACGGCGGGTATCGCTTTGGAGGATCAGCTGGAGGCCTACGGCTTCTCCGACCCATAGCTCTAGGCCTCTGCTGCACGCTCCGGCGGGTGGGTGCTGCGTGCGCTTGACACGACCGCCTGCCCCCTCGTGTCCCTCCCTCAACACCGAAAAACCGCTTCAGAAAGGCTGGAGCGATCAGAGATGGTGCTGGACTCGACCAGATACGCCATCGAGAGGAGCGCGCGGATCCTGAGGGGCATGACCTTCTGGGGCAAGATACGAAACGCCTTTTCGGACGATCCCCAGGTGGGTTGTTGCAATGGGTGCTACCGCTATGTTTGTAACGCAAAACCCCAGGGCGAAGGGCACGACCTGACACGTGTCTGTCTCTACTCCCGAAAGAGCGATTCAAAGACTGTGTTTATGATTTTGGCTTGGCTTCGATGTTGCGGGTGCAGACATTGGATGACGTAGAGTTCAATCGGACCGTTGCGATGCACCGATCGTTTTGCGAGAAGGTAACCCAGCGCTTATCCTGGCCAGAGCGAAGAGAAAGCAAACTCTCGTTCCCCGTTCTTGTTCGATGCTGCGCCGTGCCGGCGGTGGGCGCACGCGGCACGTCTTTTGCCAACAGGTACCACAGCAGCCTGCAGGTAGCACCCGGGCAGGAACAGCGACCGGCGACGGCGGCAACGGCAACGACGACCCCGATACCCCGGCGGAGGGATTCATCTGTCCCGACTGCAGGGGGCTTTTCCCCACCTCGGACGTTCTCGTCGCCCACTACGGCTCAGCCCACACCATCGCGGGCGCCGATGACGATGATGACGCGCGAGGATGGGGGGCGGGGGGGGGGGGCGACGCAATACGGGACCGGTGGGGAGGCGGGGGACGCAAGCGGCGGTAGCCACGGGGGCCCCATTCCCGAACCCGGGTCTTCTTCTTCCCTCAAGGATCAGCTGTTCGGCGGCAGAGAGGGATGGAGCGGCCAACGAGCCGGGGGTGCGACGGAAAGGGGAGGGGGAGGGGGAGGGGGTGGGGGTGGGGTCCTCGACGAGCAGAAGGCGGTGATGGCGTCGCAGGACGCCTACCTGGATTCCGTCGGGCAGGCGGTGAAGGAGCTGGGCATCCTAAGCCGCAACATTGGGGAGAGCCTGGACGGGCAGGGGGCCACGCTGGACCGGGTGGCGGAGAAGTCGTCGGAGGCGAACGACCGCACGGCGTTCGTGACGCGCAAGGCCGCGCGTCAGGCGCAGAGCTCGAAGCCCAAGAACCCGACCTTTGTCATGAGCCTGGCGCTGCAGGTAGGTGGTGGCCCATCGTGCGAAAGGCGTCCGTTTTTGTCGGGGGCAGAGGGAGAGGCTGAGCGAGAGAGAGCAGAGACAGACAGACAGACAAAGAGAGAGAGACAGACAAAGAGAGAGAAGACAAGACAAGACAAGACAAGAAGAGAAGAGAAGAGAAGAGAAGAGAAGAGAAGAGAGCGCTTTCCCCCCCCTGCGTGCACTTTTCTCTGTCTGTCTGGTGTGTGCTGTATTCCAACGCACCATGAGCGAGCGTTGCGTCGAGGAAGAGCACGAAGAGAGAGACAAGAGAAGAGAAGAGAAGAGAGCCCTTCCCCCCCCTGCGTGCACTTTTCTCTATGCGTCTGGTGTGTGTTGTACTCCAACGCGCCATGAGCGAGCGTGCGGTCTGCGTCGAGGAGGAGCACGGAGCTCCTGACCCAACGCCGTCGCGTCTCTCTCTCTCTTTTCCTTCCACCCCCCTCATTGCATCCTCTTTTCTGCCGCCGATTTATCAGCTGACAACGACACCACCTCCCGGTTTCTTGCTCTGCCCGTGACTCTTCGTGACCTTTCGCCCCCCTCCCCGAAGGAGGTGTCGACGGGCCTGTACCTTGCGGTCACCGGCGAGGAGGTGGTGCTGCAGGGCAGGGAGCTGAGGAACGTCTGCCGCTTCGAGGCGTGGGAGAGACAGGTACACTGGGCGGCAGCAGCAGTACCGTAGCCTTCGCGAGGATAAGAACTTGGTCTTAGTTGGGGGTACGGGGTGGGCTTAGGGTTAGGGTGAGGGTCATGAAACCCCCTCTCTATTGAGTAGGTTAATTATGTACAGTTGTAGCCATCTCGAGGATTATTAATTTGTCTTAGTTGGGGGTACGGGGGTGGGGTAGAGGGTTAGGGTTGGGAGTACGAACCCCCCCTCTCTATTTCATATATTAATATTGTGATAGCAACTCGACGAGTATCGTCGCGTTGCCTGTCTGAAGCTTTCCAGTTTTTTAGCCGTTAATAAAGTCGAGGGCGCACACCGCGACATGCTCGCCCACCGAGCACGACAAAGCGTTCTACTGTATACATACAATACACAGAGTAGATGACATAAAATATCACATCCCCTGAACAATTTTTTATTTTCAAAGCTCGATTACTCCACAGCAGAAATCGTGGCCGGGCGGTGTTGGCACCGATAGGTTTCCGAAACAAACCTATCGTTTGACATCCTCGTCGTCGTGGACTAACATTATTAGCTGTGAATATTGATGATGCGATATATTATGTCACCTACCACTGCCGGTACATGCCAGGCATAAGAACAACGAGCACCCTCCATATTCGAGTATGTTACTGTATGTAGTAGTAGTAGTAGTTGAATTGAAACCTCTCATTACCCATCCATGAAGAAGTCGTTTGAAAAAAAGAGCAGTGGCCAAAATCGGGTACACCCGGTCCAAACACGGCCATAATCGGGTACCCCTACAAGATGCTGCTGGGAGCGGCCGCATGCCACCATCTGATTGGCCGACGCCCGCCCCTACCCGACCTTGACCGCCTTTCCACCGGGTGCACCCGATCTTGGCTACTCACCCCCCGGAGGAGTAGTACCCGGTTTTTCTTTCCCCAACCCGAAAATGGCTGGGCGGTTCGACCAAAACGCATGCACACAACTACACCTCAGCAACGCCCTGCCCTCGAATTCGGACCTTCTGACGGCCCGGCGGGCGGAGGCAGACCCCCCGCCGGCGGTGGAAGTCTCCCTTGGGGGAAACGGCAGGCGGTCTGTGCAAATAAATGATCGAGAAGAAGAAAGAGCTGCATGAATACCTCGCTCACGAGATGCGACACATACGGGACTCATCTCAAGAACAGAGATATTTTTCTCCCTCCCGCTACTTTCTCATTATTGGCGACAAACGAGGGCCAGTGGTGTGCGTCCGACCCGTGGTTACCCGCTATATACCCGATACATGGAATCGAAAAAGAAAACTGTTTTTTTCTTGGTGGCGAAGCGGACCCTCTTTATTGTGACTCTCCAATTGCTGTTCGTGGATGGCGACGACATGGCGACACAGACGGACAAAATCTAGGGTTTGACGTCGGTCTTATCCGCCGCAGGAGGTGGAAGCTATACTCAAAGTCGGGGAGGGGTCGTGATTTGCAATTCCCTACGGAACCGTACTTACTTGAGGCGCCATGAGATTTGCACTGCCGTGTAGCCAAGGTTATATTTTTATTTGTCGGCAGGGAAACATAAAAACAAAATCTTTGGCGGACCGGACCCTCTTTTTTTCAACTGACCAACTTCTGTTGTTTGTATGGCGAGACAATTTCCGGTCTTCTTGTCCGTCACAGGAGGCCGAAGCTGATGCTCAAACTCGGGGAGGGGTCATGGTTTGCGAGTCCCTACCGAGCCATACTCGCTCGGGGCACCACGTCATGGACATGACAAGAAAAACACCCCCCCAACGAAAACTGCTGAAATTCATTCATGGATGGGTGGGCGAGTGGGGGACCCAAAAACAATGAAACAGTCGGGGGGTTCGCGTTGTTCTGGGGCTCTACCGGCGAAAAACACCGTCGACGCTCTGAACCGCTGGAAGCTGTCACACAGCACTGCATGTGCGGCGAACCGTAGGGGCCATGCGTATTGCTTGACGGAAAGAGGCGGCGCCCATTGCCTCACGTGCAGCAGCCGGGTACGTACACGGGTAGCCTCCTACTCCGCAAGACGCAAAACGATTGCCGTTGACGTTTGATGTTATTGGGGACCCTAACGGCGAAAATGCAACAGAGAGAGAGAGAGGTAGACTAAAGGAAGAGAGACTCGAGAAGACAAGGCATGAACTCTGGTTGAGAAGACGCTCACTCTCATCCCTCTGGTCCACCGCAGGCTTGAACACGTGTAACGAACGGCGACATCCGATGTGCGCTCAGCAACAACTATCTGTCTGTGTAGACTAGAAGCACGACGGACGAACTATTATCTCAATGCGCTTGCCGTCGCGATAGATGCGCACCGCTACCGCTATACGAACGAGTAGACTGTTGTCAAACCTGATTACGATAACCATTGCAACACATTCCGACCTTAAACAGCAGAAACCGCAGCAGCAGCCGCATGTGTACTACTACCTACCATGGTCACTCAAGAACAAACGCAAAAAAAACAAATTGTGGCGCGCAGCACGCAGGACCCTTTTTCGCTGTTCAACCGGCCGATTCCATGGCGAAACAGGCAAGGAACAGTCAAGGCCGACTCTTGCCGGCCACAGGAGGCGGAAGCCGTTCAAACTCGAACGATGAGACTGAAGCTAAATTAAGCTTCAAAATTCCCCAGGCCTTGGACGTGTCGTTGGGCATGGTACAATAGGATGTGGTGGTGTGTTGACAAGTGGAAATGGACGGGGTGCGAGTAAAAAGTCCGGGGCCCAGTCATGAACATGGCAAGTAAACACCCCTCCCAACAAAAATTAATGGTGGGCGGGGGTGGCTGGGGGACCCCAACAAACAAAGCATGAAAAAAAAAAGAAAAGATCAAAGACACGTGAGCCAGGCGAACAGGCTTGAGGGAGGAGGCAAAAGAAGCATAGAAAACCCACCGTGGTCGTCGCTCGCTCTGGGCCGCTGGAACATGTCACATAGCACTGCATGTCCAGCATTAGGTAGCGCCCCAAGTCCATTGCTTGACATAAAACAGGTAGCGCACATCGCCTCTCATGCAGCAGCCCGGTGCACGGGTAGTCTCTTACTCAGCAAGATGCGAAACCACTGCGGTTGACGTAGTTCGATATGGTTGGGACCCCACCGGCGAAAGACGAGAGAGAGACAGGTAGACTAAAAGAAGAGAGCGGAGAGAAGACAAGGCATTCACTCTCGAGAAGACACTCACTCACTCTCGTCCCTTTGGCCCACCGCAGGCTGTCAGACATATGTACCGAACGGCGGTATCCGAAGTGGGCTCAGCAACAACAAACACAACAACCACAAGTCGCCGAGTTGGAACTAAATAGACTAGAGTAGTGCGGACTTTCATCCTTCTGTGACGAAGTGAGAACAAAAAACATGACTACACGGACGAACTAGTCCGTCCGCGATAGATGTGCACCGCTGCACAGAGCAGCAGACTGTTGGTTGCCATACTTCACTCTCTGTTGTAAATAAGATTGTGCTGCCATCTACCTTATCGCTCAAGTTACGACTGACTACGCAGCAGACTCGAAAAGGACCAACACCTATTCGATGTATGCCACCCATGCAATATGCCGCTTAGACTATTACCATGCATACCACCCATCCATGCATATATATGCAGCAAGAGAGAAAAAAGGCCTGTTGTTGTCTGTCTCAACTGTTGTGCTGCTGTTGCTTTTCATGTATAACGACACAACAGGCGACAAAGTAAGCGACGCGCATCGCATACTACGCGACGCGAGCACCCCAAAGCGACAGACACGATATCACAACCTTGTCTGAAGCAATTCTGCAACAGCAGCATGGTCACTCACGAAGAAAATCACAAAAAATATATATATATTGTGGCGCGCAGCACGCAGGACCCTCTTTCGCTGTTCAGCCGGCCGTTCCCATGGCGACACAGACAAGGAACAGTCCAGGCCGAGTCATGTCGGCCACAGCAGGTGGAAGCCCCTGAAACTCGGGGAGGGGTAATGGTTCGCGATTGCCTACCGAACCATACTTCGGGCGCCACGAGATTTACACTGTAGCTCGAGATTGGCATTTGAGACAGGGTCGGGCAAGGGTTGGGCTATGCGAAAATTCCACCCACGGATATTGAAATATGAGACTGAAGCTAAAGCTTCAGAACTAAAAATGACATCCTCGCGAAGGCGGTCCTGTCCGATGGCAGGCGGGAGGGGGAGGGGGGGGGGGGGGGCCCCCCTGGGGCCCCCCGGACCCCCCAAACCAGGGAAAAACGCCCCCCGGGGGGGGCGGAAACCCCGCCGGGGGCCCCCGGGCACCTTTTTTATTTTAATCGGGGTACGTTTCCAACCCGCGTGGTTTTTTTCCGTCTTTCCCGGGGGGTCCGAAAAAAATTTACCCCTGGGCCCCAAAATCCCCCCAAAAAACCCCAAACCCAACTTCCTTTTTTTTTTTTAAAAATTTCAAAAACCTGGTAACCCCAAAAATCCCGGAAAAAAAAAATTTCCCATTTCAAAAAATAAAACAATACCCCATTCCAAAGGCTTTTTTTTTTTTGGGGCCCCCTTTCTACAACCCTTTTTTAATTTTTTAAAAATGGCA